TTTAAAAAATTTTTTAACACTAACCTTTAACATTTAAAATGTTTTATTATTAAAAAATATAATAAATTATTGTTTTTTAACAAAAATTCACCTTTAATATTTAGAGTGGTATTTTAATATTAAAAAAACAAATTTGTTATTTTTTAACAAAAATCTATCTTTGATATTTGAAATGAAAATTTATTATTTGTTTTAATAATAAATGCTATCTTTGACTTTTGGGATAGTATTTTATTATTATTAATTAATAAAAATAATGCTTTTAATAATAAATAATTTTTTTAATAATAAATATCACCTCTAACATTTAGGATAGCATTTTATTATTAAAAATTAATAAAATTAATTTTTTATTAATAAAATGCTACTTCTAACTTGTAAGATGATATTTTATTATTATTAATTAATAAAAATTATTTTATTTTTAATAATAAATACTACCTCTAACATTTATTTGGATAGCATTTTATTATTTTAAATTAAGAAAAATTAAATTTTTTAATAATATATGCTACCTCCAAAATTTGAAATAATTTTTATTAATAAATACTATCTCTGACTTTTTAAATAATATTATATTATTAAAAATTAATAAAAAGTATTTTTTTTTAATAATAAATATATCCTTAACTTTTAGGATGGAATTTTATTATTAAAAATTTATAAAAATTAATTTTTCTAATAATAAATGCTACCTTTGACATTTAAAATAGCATTCTATTATTATTAATTAATATAAATTAAACATTTTAATAATAAATATCACCTTTGATATTTGCGATAATATTTTATTATTATAAATTAATTTAAATTAATATTTTTTAATATTAATTGTCACCTTTGACATTTGGTATAGCATTTTATTATTAAAAATTAATAAAATTTTTTTTATTAATAAATACCACTACTGACTTTTGGAATAATATTTTATTATTATAAATTAATAAAAAAATTTTTTTAATAATAAATACTGCTACTGATATTTGGGATAGCATTTTTTATTACAAATTAAAAAAATTAATCTTTTAATAATAAATGCCATCTCTGATATTTGGGACAGCATTTTATTATTATAAATTAATAAATATTATTTTTTTTTATATTAAATATCACTTTTAACATTTGAAATAGTATTTTATTATTAAAAATTAATAAATTTATTTTTTTTAATAATAAATGTTACCTCTGATTTTTGTAGGAATGTTAAACAATTCTAAATAACTATAAACAAATATTGAAATTATAAGTTATAAAAAAATCTAATCGCTTATCTATAATAAGTAATTCTTGATTAATAATTATAATAATATATTTTATGAATAATTTATAAAAGAAATATGAATTATAGAATCAATAATTAATATGAGATCAATCACTAAGCACTAAGGTGAGATTCAGTTTTTAGGACTGGGTCTTATATTTTAAAATTAAGATTCTGAGTTCCTACATAAGTTTAATATTTATTTTTAATATATTCAATTATCAAATTATCATTAGAAAGTATAATATAATGCCAGTAAATTAAAAATCTTCTCTAAAGTTAGCAAATTTATTGGGATTTTTAGGACTATTTATAGTTGCAATTGTGAATTATATAAAAACATAAAGTTGCGAGTTGTGGTAAGGCCTAGTTGTAATACTATTTTTAATTATAAATTAATAAAAATTATTTTTTTTTTAATAATAAATTTTTCTTTGATTTACAGGATAGACTTTATTATTAATAAAATAAAGTTTTTTTTATTTTTTTATTTATAAATACTATCTCAGATCCACAATATTCTATTTCTTTAAGGGTTATAATACCTTTATTCCAAAAAGACAATCAAAAAATATAGAATTTTTTGAAATATTGCTATAAAATTTATTTTAATCAAAATAAATTATAGGAAATATTAAAAATTAAAATAATAGTTCTTTCAAATATTATAACTCTTTAGAAATAATTTATATAACAAAATATCATCATATGATTAATAGAATTGATAAAATAACTATTTTTTATTTTCAATTGATAAAATTAGAGATTTATTATTTACTTCATTTGCTTAAGAAAACTTAATAACAATTTTTAGAATATTAAAAAACATATTAAAAATTTTAGAAAATATACAAATTTTTTAGAAATAATAAATATTTAAAAAAGAGCTGTGTTATTTTTTTTGACATATTATATCTATTGATGTTTTATTATGAATTTTTTATTATCCTTTCAATGGTTTTTCTTTCAAATTTAAAAGGAATTTACTTATACTTTAAAGTTAATTTTAAATATATTAAAAATTACTTATCAAATCAATAATAATTTTATAATAAATTTATAATATTTTTTAAGTATACAGTCGTCCCCCTCTATAATCACTCCCTGTACAATCACATCATATAAATCCCTCATTATAAGCACACATTTCGTAAGGACCAATACCTATTAATGCAATATAATAAAACCTCATTATAATCACAGTGTTTTTATAGTTACACCCTTCCAGAACCAATGCTTAGTAATAACAAATAAAAATCCCCCTGTATAGTAACTTTTTATTATAATCACACTTTTTATTTTTGGTCTCAAAGGGTGTGACAATAAAGGGGGGACGACTGTAATCAAAAAAAAAAATTAAATTACATTTATTAGTAACTTTTTATTAATTTAAGATCAAATTTTTTAATAAATATTTTCTTTATAAAAGCTTAAAGCATATTTAAAATGAAATTTTATTTAAAAATAATAGATTTAATAAATTTTATAATATATTATAACTAAAAATTAAATAATCATTGAATGAAAATCATTACCATTTAAGGGAAAATACAAATTACAATTTCATATAAAGTATTATTCCAAAGTTTACTTGTTTCAAAATAAATTTTCACAAACAATATCAATCAATATTTTCTCACAGAATTCTCATAATGACGAGGCTGTGACACCCTGAAATTATTTATGTCACGATAAACTATTCAATTGCTCTATTTATCAAACTTTAACTAATAGCAAATTACAAAGATGACGGTTTATCTATTCATTATTCGTCCTCATGCCAGATTTTTTTTTCTTTTTGATTCATGACTAATGATATGATTTCGCAATTCAAAGATAAATAAGATAAATACAATTATTTATAAAGACGGTTCAAAGAAATAGGGCATCATCTCAAAGTCGTAAACAGGCAGGAATGTTCTGCCGACCAGAATTACTCTGTCACGGGAAATGAACTCGATTTCATAAATCCTTTCGGTGAAAAAAACAATACTTGCTCGTCTTCGAACGCGTTTTTTGTGTTTACTCTTTATTCGTTCTTCTGACATTATTTTTTCCAACGGCGTCGCAAAAGTTCATTCACTTTCGTATCACGTAGTACAATTTCAAAAAAGAAAATTATTATTTTTGTTGACCTATCTCGTCAGTAAATACTCAATAGCCATATTTCCAATATGATTCACCACTAATGTGCTTGTTAGTGCTAAGCAATAGTAATGCTTATTTGAATTGTATTTATTGTATAAAAATGAATCTGTAAAAGTTTCAAATAGAATTTTCTTAAATGTTGTATGTCTTTTTTGAAATTACTTACTTATACAAATTAATTTTTCGAGAGATTTATTAAACCCACCCGAACTATAGTAAGTTTTATAACTTTTGAAAGCGAATGAAAAAGTGCATGGTTGTTTGAATATCTTAAATACATTTATCATGGTTCTAAATTGCTTTTGTCTCCGACGTAACAGGTCATTTATTGTGAAAAAAAATATTTTGATTTTTAATTGAATGAATGGACATGAAAGTCATAACTTATTTACTGCGGTGAAACAAATTTTTGTTTGGTGCACATACAAAACCAACAAATTGAATAAAATCCCATATCAGTTGTAAATGGGACTGAAACTCTTTATTTAAATCAAGAATATCTTGCGGTGTAACCAATTATTTTCAATCAAAATTTGTCAAATAAAATCATCGAAATATATACTCTTTTATTTCCTTCATCAAGTGATATATGTATATTTTTTGTTTGGAATGGTTTGTAATCGAACATTTTCACATTGAAATATGTCTAATAATTTTATTTTTCTTAGAAACGGTATGGGCATTCATTATTCCTTTCTTAAAAAATCAAATAATTATTATTAGATAATATTTTAAAACAACTGAATGATCGTTACACAAAATTAATTTGTTACAGCACGATTATACATTTTTAGGTGACTATTCAAATCTATTCAAATATTACATTCGAGCAATATCCGTGTATATTTTTGCATTACATCATATTTATGGGAGGTCAATAGGAAATTGAAAAGGGGGTTCGGCGCTTTGTCCTCGATTAAAACCTAAATTTAGATGCAATTATCTTTTTTTTTTTAATATTTCTCGTCAATGCAAAATTTGATCGATAGCTTTCAAAAATTCATATGATATATATAAAAAATAATTATGTTAAATGAATCTGCCCATCTTCTAAAATTTATTTGCCCGAATATTTACAACCTTAAATAAATGACCGTAGAATTGGTGGCACAACTTAAATGAATTTTTGCTATAACGATAACAACGATCAAACCATAATAATTATTAGTTAATTTAGGGATGCATAAATTTGATTATTTCCAAATTAGTTCAACCCCTTCTTGTATGATAATAATATATCCAATATTGTGATCGTTCTATTGATTAAATCCTTAAACTGCATCTTCAATCTGGAAAATACCTATTTTTATCGTTTTTTCATTTAGTTAACAATCAACAGGCCTTTATATACCTCGAAGTTCTCACATTATTACAAATCAATAATTTTTATTTAAATTATAAAAATAATTACTTAAAAAACATTTTAATATGTAAAGAATGCATAAATCTTATCCTGATATGGATTTCTATAGATATAAAAATAAAGTCATTTATTTCCAATCAAAAATGTCGATAAAAAAAATTTGTGCAACAAATTATAATATAAATAAACGATTATCTGACCTAGCGTTTTTAGTATATATTTCATAACATGCCATTTCTACAAGGCCTTATTTCGAGACTTCGAAATTTACAAGGAAGAAACATTCGACAAAAGTATGATTTCCTACACACTATCAAAATTAGGAATTAAAATTTTCTTTGAATGAACATTTAAAAACTAACAATTTATTATTTTTTTTTTTTGATTAATTTACCAGTAACTTTGAAAGGAATAATGAAAATTCTTTTTCTCGTGACAGCAAAAGAGTCCAAGAAGTTCGAAGCTGGAGCGTTCAGGAAGTAAATGAGTTCTTGCAAACTACGTTGGGAGAAAAATGGACGCCTCGAGAAACGAAAATTTTCGAAAAAAACAAGATAACTGGTTCAATCTTTTTAAACTTAACAATTAAAAAGATGAAATCATTGAAAGTTCCATTGACGCTTGCATTTGAAATCGACAAATTGCAGAAAGAACTCCGTCAAAAAAGAATTATGGTTCAGCAATATGACGATGATGGTCATTCATCACTAGGTTTCGATTTTTTGACTATTGATTGCCAAGAAAACTTTGAAATGGTTTTAAGACGATCCAATGCAATGGGATTAGAATTAATTAAAAGTCATTTTAATGAGGATATCTATTATAATACCCCAATCCTTATTTCATCCTTCGATGAACTTATTGATGAACAAGAGTACCGATATGATGCTATCCATAGGTTTAGTAAGAAATGGCGTTGAAATAGTTCTTAATATTATAAAAGGTGCTTTGAGTGAAATACACTACACATAAATAAATCAATTTGTATCATTATATTATTTACGGTAAATAAATTTTATAAAACAAATAAATCACGATAATAAATTTTAATGATTTCGAAGTTTTTCCATTGTGCATCATTTTAAGGTGTCGAGTAAACTTGAATGATTTGCTCACGAATGACTAGAATTAATGTGCTTCAATTTTGGACTTTAAATAATCTCTTCGGTGTTTGGAGGGTATACCAACCAAAATTTCATATTATGTTTACTATAAATTTGTCAAATATAAGATGGATTAAAAAATTGCTTTTGTAGTTCTGTACTAAAGAAATATGATTCTTTTTTTAATTTTTACTCACGCTTTGGGAATTCGCCAACTGTATAAAGATATGATTTTTCGCTACATCAAAAATTTATGATCTAATTTAATTTAAAAATCAATTCAACAAATAAGTGAACGTTCTTTGTTCTTTAATGTAAACTCAAACTCATACACAATACTTTTAAATTTGTTGCTCAAATATCATTATTTTATTGGGTATGCAAATACTTGTGTCACTCGGGAAAATTGACTGCACCTGAAATCGATCGCTGCGATCATAATCAGTCATTTGGCATGTCGTGCTTTTCTGACGCCATTCCGGTCATTTCGGCTATCTGAATAATCCAATCATAACAAGTTACCAAGTCTATGAGTGACTTTTCTCTCCATTGGACTTAAGTTTGATTTGATCTTGCGATTCTTTTTGTTTACTAATGTTTTGGCCTCCCATCATTAGCACTATTGAAAAATGAAAAATTAAATATATTGTGAGTAATCAGAAGCAAAATTTCTTCATCCCAATTAATGCCGAATGTACTAAAACGTTCTGGTGGTACCCTTCATAAAAAACAAGATCAGTAATCCACGTAAACCACGACATTGCATAAGGCAGCCACCAATTACTGACATTACTTTTGTTGTTCTTCCATCAAAGTAGCCTCATCAAGCAAAACAACAAAAATAAAGACAGCAACAGATAACGATATTTACTTCGCTGTGATCCCTTCTCCGGAATCAATAGACCAAACAGCTCGATCCTTTCAGTAGACTTAAAAAGCTTACCTGGTAATAGCGTACGTCAACGAAGGATAAAAAAAGTAAAGTTCAAAGTTTTCTAAAGAAATAGAAAAGGACAAGAAAAGAAATCCAAAGTCATTCATATTTATCGCGAAAATATTAAAGAACAAACTGACTTGAAAAAGTAAAATTAAAAACGCTCACGGAATTGCATTTTAAAAAATAATCTTGTACAAGTAAAAAGGTATTTATCGAAATTTTGGAGTTTATATAGTATAATTTTACGCGTCGCGTTGCGTGCGTATTAACTTTTATATATCAATATCAATAAATATGACGTATCAAACTATTTGGTTTCACGTTTTTATGTTTACAAATTTGGATGAATTAGATCATTTGAAAAGAATTTATTGGCATAAAATAAAAATAAAATCACGTTAAAAATATATTATTATCAAATCATTGTCAAACGATCCCGTAACATTTATCAAAGAGATTTTTTTTTCGACATATTAGATATACGATAGATCCAACGCGTACTCAAGTTGTGGTTTTTTTGTTTGTTTTTGAGTTTGTTTTAAGTTTTTTCATTTTATTTCGTATTTTTTTTTATATTTAGCTAATGTAAAAAAAATTATAATAAATTTTCACTAATAAAAAATCTATTATTATATTATGATTAATAAAAATTGAAAGTATAAAATACTGTTTATTTAAAATTAGCCTTAATACAATTAAAAATCCAACCGCTAATTACTATAGAGTGTTCGTTAAGTATTAACAACATAATATGCTATAAAATACATAATGTACTAATAATGATAATCGTAACCGTACTTTCACAATTGTAAATTGCTGCCATTTTGGGATGGGACCACCATGTCTTTTGACATTGTGTCTAAAGATTTCTTTCTATCAATATCTCTTTAATTGTAATTTATCATAAATGCCTTTTGAATGAATCTGTAAAGAATCTTAAGCTCTTAATTCGGTCATGTTCACTGCATTCAACCATCTTTGCAATGTATTGTATTTCAGCGCATCTTCTCTATAAATAATAGAAATAAATTAGTAAAAAATTACCAACAAACTTGAAAACGAAGAAATAAATGAATTCTGCTTACAAAGCCCTTTTTTCTTTGAATGCATCGATCAGTTCTTCAATACAGTCAAGGAATTTATTTCGAAAGTCACTAAAAATTTATTGGCCGTGCGAAACAAATCTATTCCTTCAGCCGAATTAAGGTCGCAATTATAGATTTGCCAGACCAATACTTCAAAAATACATTTATTTGGATTTCAGACCTGAAGAAATAAGCATTTTAGTTCTTCAAGAAAATCCTAGTTCTCTTTCACAAAAACTAAAGGAAAAAAAGTTATTGTTATACTTACTCTATCATCTTGCTTTTCAACATATGTGATATACCAATTACTAACATCGATAAATTAAAATTTGGTTTGCAATTGGTGTTTACTTCAATAGATGCATATTATATGCAAGTAATAAGACGCTGGAGTTTTCACATAACCACGAACATATTTGTCATATCACTGAATGCTGCTATTGATTATATTCCAAGTGTTGTGGGATTTTGTACCATCATTAATGAATCTTGCATATGTATTTTCATATTGAGGTATATTATCATATGATCTTGTATATGTATTATCAGATCGAGGTCGTGAAAGATCCGATCACTTCATATTGACGTAAGAGGTTTGCATATGATATTTCTAAGATTATCATCTAGTAAAAAAATGATAAAATTAAAATTTAGTCATGTTACTATATCAAAATATAATAATAAAGTGAAAATTACCTTCCAAAAATCACCATCACTACCATCACCATCACCATCGTCATTACTATCGTTATTAATATCGTTATTACCATCACCATCACCATTTCTTTCATTATCATTACTTGGTACTAGAAGATTTTATTTGGATTCGGTCTAGAACTGATTCTTGAGTGATAATGTCTCCAATGTAAACTATATTACCAGCAGTTGGTTCTTGAGTTGGCTCCTTTTGGAGCCGTTATGTTTTTGCGTTTAGCAGCAGCTAATACATCTTGTTGGTTGTCATAAGTGATAGGTTTTTAATTCTGGTAGCGGTGGCATCACTTTCTTTCGACCTCTCTTATTAGGAGGTTTTTTATTTAGAACTTTTTCCGGTTCTTGAATTTCTTTTGATCGCTAAAAAGAAAGCTAGATAGGATTATTTTCTTGTAAAATCAGATATATATTTCTTTCGGATATAGCCTTTCTATCAGAATTGAATACAATTGAAACGCACCTGAAGGACCACAAACTTCATCTTCACTAGCAGGAATAATATTATTTTGACTTTTGAATTTTACTAGGCATGAAAGAAGAAATATAAATTTTTAAAAAATATGTAAAGGGAAGGGAGGGAGTGTTTGTAAGAAAAAAGAATGTTTTATTACAATTATTATATTGCTTTGGCGAAAAAGGTGGATTTTTTTAACAATTAAACTTTAGACTTACTGTATTTAGTAATTATATGCAATATACCGTATTTAATAATCAAGTACGTAATCGATGAGAAATGCAGAACAATAAAAACAGCCTATATAATTTTTTTGATCTCTAAAGAAAAATTAACGGTTAACAGTAATAAGTTCTCTATTCTGATTAAATTCAGAAGAGATTTATTTCCTTCTATTTTCTTCATTATTTTTTTGAAAAAGGATAAAAAAACATAACCTTTGTAATAAATAAATATAACATATCCCATAATTTCCTTTAAAATTTTCGTTCAAAGTACCTTTGGTTAATTATAAAAAATTATCGAGATCAAATTTTATCATTGACGAATTAGACGCATGAATTGTATTACTGAAAGTGCAAAAACTCCAATCAATCCTCCAACTATGCTCACGGAAAATTTTGTGATTCAAAAGGAAGGTTTTCATACCGAATCGTATACATAAGAAAGCAGCACAAATAGCAGAGAAAAATTTGCTAAGGCAGCGTTGGGACAGCTTCAAATGCTTGGAATTGAGCAATGTTTCCTGAGAAAATGTACAACATTGGTTAAAGGTATAACACATATTCTTATGCAAATGTATCATGTTGTACCGAACGTCCACCTGAACCGTTAGATAAGAAGTAATTGACGATATATTCGCTGGTCACTTATATACCGTTGGCTACGATGGATAGCATTAAATTTATTAAATAATAAAATAAGAAATAGAATCAATCTTTCACCTATTATAATAAAATATTTATATCATATGACATTTATAAAGAATCCCCAAGCACAAGAAACTTAATTTTGATTAAGACCTAATATTGAACTTGTTTATTCGGAGTTAATAAAATATAAATGTTATCTAAATGTATTTTTTTTATATAATTTCATTCTTTTTTTTTTTTAAAAGCAACCATTATTCATCCACTTACTTTAGTTAGAAATATGCACGGATTACTTTAAATAATTCAAATGTTTATATTAGAATCATAACTCTTAGATTTTAATTTATGCAAATTTACCAATTGCCGATATATAATAGTAACCATTAAATATTATGTGTGAAACTATATTATATGATAATGCTAATTTATTTAAATATAGTAAATTCAAAATTGTATAAAATTAATTATTCATAATAAAGTTTCAAAATTTGTTTTGCAAACTTAATATTTAACACCATTACTGCAGATAATCTAAGACTATCAGCGCAGTTCGGATCGATTCTGAAAAAATGTATTGAAACTACATAGTAAAATCGATTCTTGATCGACGATTTTTTTTACATATTCTCGTTAAAATACCATTCCAAACGATGATCAAATTCATCTGGTGTAATAGGTTAGATGGCTGGATTAATAATCAAATATATCGATTATTTAAAATAATCGATCTGAAATTCTAACAATGCTTGTTTAAGGTTCTTTTAGAGGATATCTAGAAGAATTTGTTAAAAAAGTGTTTCGCGATTGCAATGTTGATTTAGCGGTTAGTCCAAGTGTTTCGTCAAGCATCTACCACACTGATGTTGGTATTAATAAGCCATTCAAGGATAATCTTCGTAAAGAATGGCATTTATGAATAACAAATGGTGGGTGATGGTGAAACTAATGCGAAAACCTTAGATGCGCGAAGCTTATTGATCATTAATAAATTCATGGGAAAGTACATGTATATATTATGAAATTATCATTAATTCTTTTATAAAATGTGGTAGCGCATTCATTGGATAATTAAAATGATGAATTAGAATTTTCAGACATGAATGATGATGGGATTTGTGATGATGATTGTGATGATGATATTCGTGATGGTACTAATCATGACGATGATGTTTATAATGTGTAAAAATTAATTAAATGCGTTTATAAATATTAAATCGATTTTTATTAATTTAATTTATATTAATTTCTTCGTATATAAGTAAAATAATATATATTGTTTCTGTAAACTAGTTGATGGAGACTAAATTTATAAGACAATAATACCGCTGTCCATTAAACGCTTGTCATATAAAAATTTGACATATAGATTTTAAATCCTTTTAATAAAGAAAACTAAAATTATCAATTTTATATGAACTCAATTATTTTGAATTGTTATATCATTTTTAGAAATCATTATTAGAAATGGTCCTATTAGAATAATAAATGTATCAAACAAAGTTTGATCAAGAAATATAGTTTAAATTTATAATCTATAAAGAAATTCAAAATTGTAACACTATTATTATTATTTTACAAAATTCTTCAAATTTCCCTACGATCGATATTCATGATAGTAAAGATTAAGAAATAAAAATCGTTGATACCAATTTTTTATGTAATTTTTGCTCATTTCATAAAGGTCAATTTGTATAAATTTATTAATAAAATATATTAATAAACGGAAATTATTAAAGCTCGTCGCTCAATATATTTAATTTTTTATATTATAATAAAAATTATATAATTTGTTGCCTAATTAAAACTACAAAAAATTGGTGTTACCTCGAGGTAGGTGTTACAAAATTACAAAAAAAGTGAGGGTAGAATAGGAATAGGAGGTGGAAGGAAGGAACTCTTTAGGAAAATGTCCAAGTTGCCTGTTACATCTAACCTTAAAATTAGGACGTTCAATTTGTCGCGATTTTAAATTGAGCAATAAAATCGCATTGCAATTTCCAGAAATTGAAATTTAGAACCTTAACATGGGCGCAAAATATACACCGACTTAAATAAATTATTGAATAGCTAATAATTACTCTTCAAAAAACAAGAAAAAAAAATTAGATAACATATTTTATATTTTATCTCTTTGAATACATTAAATTTCGTCAAAATATTCAAGCCGATCTGTAGTGTACAGTAAGTACCTGTATAAATAAATTTAGTGTAACCATTTCGCCTCTCAAAAATAATTTCTTTGATAATTTAAAGTTGTCTGCATTTAGGTTTGTATGTAAGTTAGGATATAAACTAAGCTCAGTCTGGTATTAAATGTTCTTTTTCCCATTGTAAAGCAATGGGTTAACAACTAATTGTAAAATAATTATTTCCTAAAATCTTCTATTTTAAGGTTTATTCTTATCAGAAACACATACTTGCCAGGAAATCAAGATGGGATGTTTGTTGATTTTTCATCATGTAAATTCTTGATGCAACACTATACTAATTGTATGAAAAAAATTGCATGCAGAGAATTTGAATAAGTTATCCGACTTTTAGTCTGAAGATTAATTTGTTATAGAGAGAAATAAATAAATTAATATTTAATCGCTATTTTAAGATTCTTATTACCCAGAGTCACAACTTTTAGCTGCGTCGCAAAGATTGACAGTTACTTTTTCATTTTTGTTTATAAAAAAAAAAAATTAGATTCTAGTAAGTCTTTAAAAATTGCAATTTATACCGCCACATAATTTAACTATACTTTATGATAACAATTAGAAAGAAATTTCTATCGTTTTATTATAATCGCATTTCCGTAGGTAGGATTAAAATTTTTTAACTCGAGTGGTGTGCTAACGGTTCTAATATGACCAATATCAGGCTTCTGACCGATCAACGTTTGACCAACTGATCATTTGACTGGCAGTGTGATACTGCTCTGAATATCGACAGTTATTGAGTTTTCGATCAGAATGCCCGTCGATCGAATGATTTGAGTTTGTACTACATGAGAGATTTATAGTTATTCGAATTCGGTTGGCATAAAGATTAATTTAAGTTAAGTTAGGTTAGAATTAAATGTTTCAATGTCCCTCACATTATGAAATAAGTAGCAAATATGATACAATAAACAAATTTCCAATATTATCCTCGAACATTTCACAATAAATCTTATAAAAAAAGCAAGCCCACGTTAAATATACTGGTTAAGGATTTATAGGCTGGTTCCAAGTGAATTCACATGATTGTTTTGAATCATTGACTCTAGAATAACACTTTCTTTTTTTTTGCATTTATTACTTTTTTTTACTTAAATATTTGACCACATTTAAAGTGGTTATGAGATAACGATAATAAATAACCAAACATTTAGAAATTGTGGAAAGTTACATAGAAAAATCAGGTTTTGGTTTTACCATGGCGTGTTTCCCAAATATGGACTTTGATTTTAGTAATCGACAAGGATTATGAACCAAAATGGAAATAACAATAAGAATTTATTTACAAAAGCCAAAAATTAATGTTTATTTTTTGTGATCATCTCAAAAATGGAAATAACAATTAGAAAAAAATGCACAAGCAAAAATCGTTTTTTATTCAAATACCATAATAAATCAAATCAATAAATTTCATCATGTCGTGTAAATCATAAATGTAGGATATCCGGAACAAAAAAATCAAAGTTTCTGAATATTGCAAAACATCTGGAATTTTTTTAAAAAAGATCGATAATTTGGGTTTAAATAAATTAGTAAACATAACTCTTCGTATACAATAATCAAATAAAAAAATATAAAACGAAGAAACTATGGACGAAATCTCTTTAAAAGAAAATAATTTAGCTTACATTTGGTATAAAATGTTTCTATGTTCAACAAAAACAAAAAAAAAACCCCTTAAAACATTTTTTTTTTTGTAACTCCATTCATACAATAAGCTTCTAATTTAAATGGAATTTCCTTACTCACCAATTCATTTATTAATTATTAGATAAAGATAACGATCCGATCAAACGAACAATATTAAAAAAAAATCTATAAAGTTCCAAATGGAAACTCCATCTTTCAATAATATGCTTATTATTTCCTTTTTCGATTATGATCGAACGAACAATATTTTAAAAAAAGAAAAATTAATGCTAAAATAGGGAAACACAATTAATAGACAAATAACTACAAGATTCCATTCATAATAATATATTGATACTGGCGGAAAAAGTATATAAAATGGTTAAATTTACAATTTCAAATATTAATAACGTATACCCGACCCTATCAAGAAGATAATTCGTCCTCTTATTATAGCTATGAATTCAGATGGTTCTAAAATAATGGAGGATGATTCTTCTGATTATATAGCTATAAGTCCGGATGGTTCTTATTCTGCGACATTTAATTCAGGTATATTTCTATTACAATTGACGCATTGAAATTCACATAATTATTCATTCGTTCTTATTTATGATTAGAATCTTATGAACTTAAAATTTACGACGTAAAAAAGTTTAACAATGACGATAACAATATTACACCTCCTATTCACACTATCGATTTACGTAAGGAAATCAATACATCTGCGAACTATTATTATTCTTTGGCCATTTCCGATTACGACCAACTATACGTATACGTAGCTGTATCACGTTTTTGCGAAAATACTGGTTTGATCGACAATGCAGATACAGAAAAAGGTTTTGGTACTATAGGTACTATAGAAGAAAAAACTTTTGTTTTTTGCAATATCACAAGAAGGACAAAATATGCGTATCAATACTACTGTAGATAATCGCGGTGGGGTTGTTAGATTTTTGAGTAATTGTAAGTCAAAAAAACCTGATATATTGAACGAATTTACTAAATTAATTTCAATGAACTCTTCTGGATTAGTACAAGCATCAATCTATCATCATAATCATCATACAAGCGAGGAAGAATATGAATTTCCAACAATCACTCAAGTTAAAATTGATAATTTATATCAAATATATCCTTGTACGAGATTTTTATATAATATTGTTGAGAAAAATTATTTATTTGTTCAAGATTATAAGAATCAAAGACTTGAATTGTATAATTTACAATCCTTGGATTTAGAATTGATCTGCCGACAGCGTGATGACATTTCTTCTTTCTCGCATGCGCGTGAAAATCCCATCTTTTCCATTTCAAAAAATGGTCACTTATTAGCATACTGTAATGGTTCAAAGAGTATTACGATTCATTTAATGGAAAATGGACTTGAGATTACGACGAAAGAATTTCTTTACGCATACAAAATCCTTTTAATTTCATTTATTGACGACGATGAAAGATTATTCGTTGTCGCTGAAGATGATAAATTCACTCTAAAAATATATATTTGGGATATTTTCACTTCAAAAGAAATTTTTAAAATTGATGTAGAAGATGGAATAACCGACATTTTTAGCTCCCTACAAAAGTATGATAATCACTCAATAGCTTGTTCAAGTGGAAAAATACTCGCTTTACAGGGTGGGGAAATTTGTTCAGTCCTCGAATTGTCGGTCTTTGAACATAAATTAAGGCCTTCTGAAGAACCACAAGAACTTCGCTCAATTGTCATTAATCAAGCTGAAAAAAGTTCATTTGAATCCGATCAAATCCATAAACTAGACGGAACAGGGTTGCCAGGGTTGCCTAAAGAAGAGCCTAGATCATCAGTATTGAACGTTAGTGAACCTTGGATTCATGAAAAACAACGTATACGTATTTCTTTTCTTGATGAAAACGTTCAACTTATAATTGGAAAAACAACAGTTCAAGTTTGGAGTAACGATAAAGACTTAGATTATATTTGGGTGAATCTAAGCAATAAAAATATTATAGTTGAATCACTAAAGATTGGAAAGCATGAATTTAATTTAGATTTGTCATGGGATGTTTCAAATAATGAAAGGAATGAAACGGGAGAAGATAAACATAATATTCATTGGCCCAATAAAATTCATGTCCTCAAAGACGCATGCGTTGCTATGGAGTATCTTTATAAAAGAAAAGACGAACCTGTAGGGATAGAACGTCTAACCAAATACAAAGATTTGGTCGCTGGCACGGAAAGACTTATTAAAAAATGTATCAAAGAACATCCGGGTTTATGGAGTTTATCTGAAGTACGATATGACATAATGGCCAATATCATACGATCAAAGAATATATCGTTGTTAGATCAGATTCTATTCGATTTAAAAGTAACAGACGGCAAAAAAACGAGAGTCAGTCGTTATTTACATATTCCAAGGGAAAAAAAATGGTTTATGGAAGATGAAGAAAGTGATTTGAAGCTTGCTATTAAAGAATCTTCAGGTGGACATCGTAGAGATAAAGTTATCGTCGCCATGTTGCTCGAATATTATTCAAATAATGCGGAAAAAGATACGGGTGAGTAAATTAAATTTTTCATATGAGAATCCGAAATTAAATAACTAAAAAATTATTCTGTTACGACAGGTTGGATGTTTACGTTGACAAAGGCACTTCCTTTGCTCCAAAGTGACTTTGGTAATCAAATGAGTATTTCCTCACTATGTTGTTTGAATTGTTCATACGTCATATTTATCTAATGTATCATTATAAATACAGAATCTTATTTAAAGGAGTTATTTTACAAACCTTGCTTTGGATCCAAAGAAGAAAATGTGGATTCAAGATTTGTGGATCAAAATAAATTGTACAAAGGATATAAATCGCAAATATGTTCATTAAATGTGAGACCACGACTTCTTTTGGTGCCAAAAAAGTGTTCATTGTGGAATAAATTTATGACGAATCCTCTTAAATGGATTCCAAATATACTGAAATATATACAAAAACCGAATGTAATAATTCAAACAGAAAGGAAACAAGTAAAGACGACGACGTTACGTGTGGTTCCATTACCAGATTTTACTGTTTATCAAAATGAGACAGATAAAACAGATAAAACACCCAATCATTTGATTATCATTAAATTTATCAGACTCATGATATGGCCAAGAGGTTATGTTAATAAAAAAAAGTATTATAGCCCTTTTTTGCAACTAATAAATAAAAAAGAAGGGGGTCTGTTATATGAGCTATATGATAATCCAGCAATGGAAGCATGCATTAATTTTAAGTGGCAAGCAGCGCAATATCATTTTTTACGTCAATTTTTCTTATTCATAGCTTTTTCGTTATCGTTTGCTATTATTTCAGGAATAATCCGAAATCCACATGTTTATCCTTCAGACCAATATATAGCATATATAATTTTTTTTTATCTTGGATATTATCTTTTAGCGGAGGAAATTGTACAATGTAAACACGAGACATTACAAAGATATTTTAGCATATATAATTTACTTGATGTAGTTTCAATTCTTCTCGCAATAGCTACGATGATATTCTTTCTTGCAGGGAATAATGACAATATAGATGGTCAAAGAAATCTCGTTATTACGCAAGCGTTTGCGGTCTTACTTTTATGGCTTGAATTAGTAAGTATTATTTATCAAATTACCTTTTTTAACCATCCCTGATTTTAATTTCTTAATTTATTTCGCTAGTTATGTTTGACGCGATATTTTGAGGGTAAATATCTTTATTATACTTATTTATTATATTATTTATATTATTAAATCTGTATTTTTTATTTTATTTTAGGTACTGCAATTTATATCAGCATGATTTTAAACATTTTAAAAGCTATTTGGCCATTCCTAATTTTTATGGTAAATTTTAAGCATTTCATTATAATAAGGAGCTTATTTATAGTTTATTAAACAATTTTCCATTTTTTAAAAAAAATGTGTAGTTGATGACGACCGTTGCTTTCGGTCATGCAATGGTATAAATTAATTAATTTATTTTTTTATCATCCGAGATTTAATATAAGATAAACTGATGCATTCTAAATCTTGTTTTTTAATATAAACATTAATTCAAAAATAATTAGCATATCGTATTAAACAATCCTAAAATTATTGATGTGAAACCTAAGGGCGACATTAATGTTGATGATCATGCCGAAAATTATTATTCATCATTTGTCTATTCTATTTATGGGGCTTATTTTTGGGCCCTTGGAAGATGGGATCAATTAGAGAATTGGGATTTCTGGCCGGTTTATGCAATCAGTATAGGTAGATATTTTGTGTCTTATACTATTTATTTATTATTATCGTTTTGATCTTGAAGATGTTAAAGTATTTTTTTATTTTTAGCCGCAAGTGTTTTATTAGTCATTATCATGCAGAATTTGTTGATTACATTTATGTCGGGTGTATATGAGATTGCAAAACAAAATGGAAAATTAGCGGTCTTAGGTTACAGAGCTGATTTAATCGCTAATTATGAAACGGTAGATAAACCAACTGGTAGCTATAGAGGGAATCCGAGATATATTTATTATGTTGGAAGTTCGGAATATCAAGAGGAATGGCTGGATAAAGCCGAAAATTATAGGAAAACACATACATCATTATTATTTGATGATGTTATTAGCCAAGGATTATCCGATGACAATTATGTTACGAATGAAAGCCAAGATGTTAAGCAAGATGAGATAAAGTCATTGCAAGATGTTGTTGGAAAGTTGCATTCTTTAGAAGATAAGATTGAAAAACTGACACGTTTATTAATACTAAAAGAGACATGAATATTTGTATTATATATATATTTTTTTATTGTATTTTATTTTCCTCATAATAAATAAATGTTAAATTATTATTTTGACTTTGAAACTCATTTTAAAGAAACAAAATAAAAAAAAAATATCTACCCAACACGGTATTTTTTTTTTAGTGTGGAAGTACAAATTTATACAAGTATAAAAGTAAAAGTAAATTAGAGAATACTAAAATATTTATCTAGAATATTACTAAACTAAATCAATACCAACCTTACACTAAGCTAGACTAAATAAAATTTTAAATGTGAAAATAAAATCAAACCAACTGTACAGCAAGAGGTGCGTGGTTACTTCCTGACCAAAAATTTGACCATGAGGAGCTGTAGTTAACCGAATCCTTAAAGGAGAAGGGGGAGATAGGAGCGGTAGTATGTGAGAAGGAGATAAAAAGAGACTGTTATCAGTCTTATAGTCAGAGTGTCGTTCAATCCAATAATTGAAAGATACACTTCTTTTAGTCCATATGATTCATATAGATCGTGATATATTGAAGAAAGCAAAGCTTTAGATCTACCCAACACGACATTACATACAAAGAATATCAATTGATTAAAAGTTACCAGTGCACGATTTGTGTAACATCAAATCTATTTTTTTTTTCGCGTGCATATATTTAAAAAATGAAATATTCTGCGACCTGCGACTACTTAAGCTAATCCATGGATAAAATATGTTTAGTGTTACATTTCCTTGAATATTTTTACTATATGGTTTGAAAAATATAAAAAATGTGTTTGTTACAAAATCATTATTAAAAATTATCATCAAACTGCACTTGTATCATTATAACAAAACCTTTAAAAAAGCATTATAAAATATATTTGCTATTGTACATTAAATTAATGTGGAACCAATCAAATTCGTCAAAACTTATCGCCCAGAGCAGGTTAAAGAACTACGCCCTGGAATGCTCGTCAAAAACGACGCAACGAAATCTGGACGTACTAGTACCAGCCGTCGGAGTCAGAGTCGACGGCTGAGTCGACTCTGGAAAAACCAAGTCGAGTCGACTTCGGAATTTTCATGACTGAGCCATGACTGAATCGTTATTCCAAATTTGATATAAGTTTTGAATATTGTGAAATTTTTAATTAAATGAACTTCAAACTTTTAGTCTAATGGGATTCTTGTCAACATTATTTACGATGAAATTTATAATTATCTACTTTTTGCAACATTAATTAAATTTTAAAAATTTTTGATAAATATTAAGATAATTATGGTCGCTAATTTCAAATGAGAGTCTCGACTCAGTCGACGGCTGAGTCGACTGAAAAGTCTCTAATGGCTGACTGAGTCGACTCCAGAATTTGTTATGACTGGTACTACTATCTGGACGTTACATAAAGTCAAAAAACTTTCACATTTGGCCGAATATTCATTCACTTTTCACAAGAATTGTTGAAAGTAAATAAACCCAACCCATCTTGAATATTAAAAATAAATATCAGTTTTTCTAAATTATTTGCTTTGAAAATATTTTTAAAAATTAATAACGAAAAAGTTTAAATATTAACACGTGTAACAAATAGATTGATAAATGATAGATCTTTAAAACAATAGTAAGTTCGGCCTATAAAACACGTGATTTTAAGCCTTAAAATCACGACACGTCGATTAATCGTTTCAAAATTCGACTTTCGATTTTCCATATTAGTTATTTTGGTTTCCTTACAGCTTTCTTATTTTACTACAAAAAAAAAATTAAAGTTACAAATAAAGAACGATTTATTATGTGATAATACTGTATATAAGAAAGGTGAAATTTTGAAAGTAATGCCATTCGCGCGATTTCGAGGTATGCCTTATAATTTGCGATGTACTTTTCTCTCCTCAACGACTCGGCATTTATAAAGAGAATATCATATAACACACCAAAAGACCTGAGTTACAAGACCGACGGTGACGGTGTAATTCTGCTGACGTTTTGTCAGAAGATTTCTCCTTGTATTGTAATGATACCCCTTTTCAAGAAATCGTCTTTGTAAGTGTATCCAACCTTATCTGATAAATGGCTACGATATTCGTGCACTAAAAAAAAAGCATGAGAAGGAATAAGCAAATAACAACAATTTTTTATCGTCTTCTTCGTATTTAGTCATTTTGAATATTAAATATATCGTTGTAAATTGAAAAGATGTCCCACTTAAATACTATTTAGTTCCTCGATATGAAGATTGACATTTGCCATTACTCATGTGAACTTTATCTAAAATAAATTCTAATTCATTTATTGTGCTAACCCATCCTCCGTTGCAAACGACAAATACGTATTAACATTTTTGAAATGTTTCACGATCAGTAATAATAACATTACGATATGAAGATATACATATTACCATTTATGGATCGATAAAAAAAAATATTCATAATTATAAATTATTATTTTTCTTCACGATTTGGTGGAATGTGTAAATTTGATTCTGGTAATGATCAGCGAAAATCGTCATTTATTCAGAAGATATTTTTGACAAGAAAAACAACTTATTTATTCGAAAGTTTTATTTAATGTTGATATTATTAGATAGATAAAAAAAATCATTTTTTAAATAAATTTATTGTGTAGTAAATTTATTTCAGTATGCGTCATTTTGGAAAATTCAATTTATAATATAATTAGTTATTAATACCACATGCGACAAGAATTCTTTCTACACTATCTTTTAGAAAGTCATATTTTATATATACAATATTTTCGATTATAAAATTAGCACTATTTGTTACTTTGGTATATGAGTTAAATCACTAGGCTTTATTAATAGGTACTACATATTTAGACTCCTTTTATTGATAAAAGATATGTATTGTATTACATAGTGTTAATACAAAGAAAATATTATTATACGATATAAATGAGACGAACTAAATATTTATGAAAAGCTTGAAAAGAGTTCTTGTAGCACAAATTCCGATTCAAGAAAAGTAAATCTTTATTTCTTGCTGAGTTTATCCTCATTGGCGACTTTTGGAACGAAGAAAGAAATAAAATTATTATTCAGTGCAAAAGTTGCGGGAAAATTAGCTGTTAAACTCACCAAATGTGTCGTTAGTCTTAGGAGTAACGCCAACAGCGTAACTCTGTGTATCAGTAGGTTTTTTCTTTCCTAAAACTGTTACAATGTAGTAAGTTTTCTTATCTTTTTCATATACAACTTCCTCTTAAGAATGGTGAAAAAATATTTTGTAATTAGTGAATAAATAGAAATAAAGGCAAGTGGAGTTAAGAAACAAGAATTCACCTCCTTCGTCAAATTTACTCATTTTTAGATGTTTAAATATGTCAGTGTTAATATGAGTATTGAAAATTGGTTGCAAAAACTTCCTAGTAAAGCAGAAGTTGTAAAGACATCCACCTCCCTTAAATAAATACTGTTCAAACAAATTTACGACTCGATTTGGACTCATTATTCTATAAGTTTTTTTTCCCATGGGACCAATAGATTACAAACTTTCTATCGCTATAAAAAATATTCATTTACAGATAATTCTTTCGGAGAAAATCGCTTGTTATTAACTAGATGGTAAAAAGCCTCATGATAATGAGTTGATTATGCACATTCATTTTCTTAAGAGAACAATAGTTAAAAATTCTCGAGTTATTCATTATTGTTGTAATTTCGTTATACTTAAAGTTTCCTGATCTATATTTGATATGAATATAAATCACATTCTACATTTACAGTATATAGGCGAAAACTTTCACAATCGGCAATAACTAGTTTTCTATCAGGTTGGTACCTGACCCGGATGTAATAGTCTTTAACCAGAACCAGACCTGACTCGACCCGACCATAGTGTAATTCGATTTGACGGGCAACCTTTCGTAGTTTTAGCAACCATTAAATGTTTCCATGGAAAAATAATATTTAGTAACGATCAGCAATTAGTTTTTCCGGATAATGTCAAATCTCATCTTTGATTAAGATATTATTTGCAAGAAATACAAATACTAAAATCCCATTTTAATTTAATGTAAGACATTTTTTTTAGGACAAGTAACATGTTTATCAATTTAAATATACTTATTGTGTAGTCCTGTGAATCTTTATTATTATCATCTCACATGTGAAAAAAATATGTTGTTAAGCAAATTCCTTGTAAGTTCTCTCAAAAGGTAAAAATAAATTTCAGCATTAATATTCTTCTTCGGAGAAATTCGTGAAATAAAAGAATTGTGCATGTAGAATCAAGATTATGAGTTAAAGAAATCATCTACCTAAAATACTCGTATTTTAAATTATTTTGGTTTACGAGTATGATCAGCACCATGTGGAATTTATGCAACCTTTGAATTTTTCAACGGTGAATTACTTTAAGTAACGAAAAAGTGTCACCATTAACTTTGGTTTAGTCATATTAAATTTTGTGTAAATGATGGATAAGAAAGTTCATTGTTATAATGCAGACAAGCATGTTTCCATGGGAAAAAGTATTCATAATTAAAATATTTTCTACACGTATTTAAAATTCGCACAAAAAAGCCAAAAAACATTAATTTAATTCTAGTAATGATCAACAAATAGTTTTTCCGGATAATGTCAAATTTCATCTTTTCATTGAGATATTTTTCAAGAAAAAATTACGCATATTCAAATGATTAGATTCCCTTGTTTTGAATGACTGACATGTTCTTAAATTATTATTAAACAATTGAAACATGAAAAATAATTTTGATTGTTATAAAAAAAAAAAAATTAAAAAAATATATTTGTAGTGAATCTATTTTCTCATTGCGCGTAATTGAAATTTGCTATTAGTAATTAAAACAGGACCCCAAAATATATATATAGGGGTCAGATGACTTTTGAAAATTTTACTAATAGCTGTACGCAAGGGTTTTCTATAAGATCAGTCGCAAAATTAGCACGTGACATCAGAAAATCTGATACTTGTGTAAAATAAAATGACTAAAAGATTTGTTGATCGCTGATTGTTTAAAAATGGAAAGGTTAAAATTTAAAATAGAATAGTTAAAATTAAACA